TAAAATTGAGACAAGAAACAGACTTCCTATTAAAAATTAAATAAAAATAATAAAGACGAAACTCTTTAAGAATTGACTCAATTTTCTCTTATTTTTTTCAGTTCCTCATAATGTTTCAACCATCAAAACAAATTTTAAAATTATTAAAAATTTTTATTTTATTTATTTTGTATCTGCAAGGAAATAAAAGACAAGTTTTAAGTTGTTTTTCTACACCAGAGTTTGTCTACCTTATTTAAATAATTTTACATTAAATTTAGACCTATCACACGTTCAACAACTACAGTTATTCCCAGAACAACAACTATATCAACTAGACAAACAACAACAACTTCTATTCCCACAACCACAACCTCTGCCATTATACCAACAACTACAACAACCTCTATTATAACAACCCCTACAACAACCACACCCTCAACTACTACAACTTCTACTCCATCTATTATTACTACCACACCAACTACCACACCAACAACAACAACACCAACTACTACAACAACTACAACACCTACTACCACAACAACTTCCACAACTACGACGACAACTACAACTACTACAACAACGACAACAACGACAACTACAACACCCGGTAATTAGTAATTTAAATAAGGCTTATTAAATAGAATTAGAGAATTTTGATATAGCATGTATATGTAGAATATTTGATTTAAATCATGAAAAACATTTTTAAACGGGCGCAGAAATAAATCAGACAAAAATACTTATAATCTAATCATTATAAAAAAATTTTTAGTCTGTACTTGTCCAGCTGGATCATCAGGAATTATTTACAGTTCCGGAGACCCTCGAATATTTCAATTTAATATGCCTCCAGCAACTGCAACATGTGGAGGTTGCCCTGCTGGATATACACAAGTAGAAGAAATATTAAATTGAAACTTATTATCAAATAACCAAGTTATTTTAGTCATGTTATCCAACACAACCAGATAGTAATCCAGCTAATGATGTTGCTGATGTTTCCGTACAATGTGGTGTTTATTCCACATTTTGTGCATGCCCATCAAATGGGCAACAATGTTATACTTTTAATCAACCTAATCAAGTAACTGATGTTCAATTATTTACTTATTGTGATGCTGGAGGAAGTAATAATTATTTATTTATTTTTTGTGGTATTTATTCTGAACTACGAATTTCCTTCCCATACTTCTTTAACTTTTAAAAACAATTTAAGCCTGCCTAACATATCTGGTTTTCTTCTCAAATGACAACACAGACTCTATCAGCAATAATGCCCAAACAGTTACTTATGTTCAACAAACTGATGCGACAGGAAATCTACTACCATTCTCGCAAACATCTCCTTATGTTAAAGCCCCAACAATTGCAGGTAGTAAAAATACAAGAAAAATATTAAAAGTTTAACAATAATCTGAGCTTAACAATTAGTCATAGGCCAGGAATTAATGTAAAAAAATTATTTTTTTAGTTAGTTGTGATGGTTGCAATACTATATCAACTAATAATGCAAACACAGGAACGTCTGCTACATGCTCGGGGCCTTTAACGACCGCTGGCTAAAATATCATAAATTAAGAGAAAAATATTAGAAAAATATTTTTATTAAATTTTATTTCAATTAAAAATATAATTCGGGTTATTATGTAAAAATATAGATAGCATCACTGAATAATTTACTTGATTTTCTTTAAATTTTATTTAGGAAATAGTTATTGTCTTTTAATTTATTTTAAATAATCAAAATAAATATTTATTTAATTTATCAATAACTTCTTTCGTTAAAATTCCCAATTTTCTTTTTATTTTAATCCACAAAAAACAACTTTAAAATCGGGAGAAATTCTTCCATCTACTCCTTTACAAGTAAATAAAGAAGTATGATCATCATAAGCATATAAATAAGATGTTGGACAAACAGTTTTAATTTCTTTTTTTTTAAATTTATTAAAAATTAATTAAAATTTACTTGTGTAAATATCATTTTGTGCAGCATTCCAACCATTTCTGCATTTATTTCCATCATTGTAAGCATTTTTACAACAAGTAGCATCAGTATTATATTGACTACATAAACTTCTTATTGCGACTATTTTCTTTAGAAAATAAATAATTTTATGTAGATAAAATTATTTTAAGAAATCATTTTCATTTAAAAATGTAACAAATATTTTTTTTAATTTTATAAGAAAAAATTATTCCTTAACAATTTCCCCCAAAATTAAAAAAAAATTTTTTAAAGTTAGTGGAATTATTAAATTATTTTTGTTCAATTTTTTGGAATAGAAATTAATAAAAATATTTTTTATAAGAAACTGTCCAGAATAAATTTTTAATTAAATTATTAAATAAATACCGCGTTATTATCTTTCATTTCTATATTGTATTTTTGTAAATCCAAATTTCGTTGATCTTCTGTACAGCTAATCTCTTTACAATTTCCAACAGCTCCATTAAAAGTTCCAGCTATTGGAATTATTTGTAAAGGTATATTAGATCCATCTACATAACTAACATCATAATAACTAAGCCCCCCGTCTCCATTAAGAGTAAATTCGGCTAATGATGCGGGGATTTGTCCTTCAAGTCCGTTACATTCCAAAACACCCTAAAAATATTTTTAGAGATATTCTAAGAGGGAGTATTTTAATATATCCAAAATTAAATTAAAATTTACATCTTCACTAGTTTAAATATAAACAAATAAATAAAAATACATTTCCACAAGACCCTGTAATACATATCATATTTTCTCCACAACCAGTTCTTGGCCAGATACGGGCAGATTTCCAATCTGGGGGAACAGAAAGGCTTTGAACTTGACCTGGTTGCAAAGGACCAAAACCCCCGTTATTAGGTATCGGGCCATCATTTTTAATTGCCGGCCAAATTGGTTCACTACAATTATTAAACAATTCTATCGTTACCACTTTAAAAATAAATTTAAAATTATTATATGTAAATTAAATTTCAAACTTTGGGGGAAAACTTCAATATTTAATGTGAAGTTGAGTAATAAAATAAATAAATAATAAAACATTATTTTAATTAATTAAATGATCTTTAACACTTATGTATATTTACAAAATATTAAATTCTAAATTCTTTTTAAATATTGCCTTTTTAATTTCAAAATATAAAAAAGAAGCGATGAACTTTATTATAGACTTTAATAATTGCTGTTTATTAAGCGATTATTTGGAAATTTTATTGAGAAATAATTTTAGTTTTTGTTTTGAAGTAAATTAAAATTCTAAAAAGACGAGTAATATTCAGGAATTATCATACCAATTCACTTTTTTAAATTAATTTTTATTATTGCGCATAGTCAGACATTGAGAACTCTTATATTAATGTAAAAATTTTATTTAAAATTTATTGTTGTTATTTTTTCAGTCAAAAAAATTTAACAGATTTATAAAGGTTTATATAAAAATATTTAAATAATTAAAAATATTTTGGGTCGACTCTCACTATAGTCTACACACTATTGTGTAGAACTCATCATCAGTTTATAGTTTAAATTTTTTAATTTGGTTGATCATTGTATGAGCTGACTTAGGTAAATCACAAATTTATTATATCACCCCTTCCTTTTCTCAACTCCAAAGGGTGTAGATTATAACGAGATTTGACCTTATCAAAAATTAATCTTTAATTTCTTCATTTTCATTCACATGCTAATTTTCCATGGAAGCTAGTCATTGCTAAAATAAATTTTCATCCGAAAAATTTTTATTTAAAAATTTATTTTTACCAATTCCAAATGCTTGTACAGGTGTTAAAGGATAACGCTAAAAAGAAAAATATTTTCTAAAATAATTTTTAAGAAAAAACTAACAACATCCATAGTAAATGTCTCATTGTCAAGTCGGCCAAATTGCATTATTACATATTCACCTTTTTTTTAAATTTTATTAGAATATTTTAAAAAGAAAAATCTAAGAAATACAAAAATGTTACATAATAATTACATAAATTAATTTAATTGAAATTTACTTGGATCTGGAATTACTTGAATATTATTATTATTTTGATGATTCATTTCAGACTGAGAAGCTAAAAATAATTAGTATTTTTCTTAAAAAATTATTAAGTAATTACCATGCATTGAATGGACAATTTGAAAATTTTTAACAGAAGCTTGTGTAACTCTTCCATGGAAATTTAATACATATGATTGAGATTCTTTTTTAAAATAAAAGTTTATTTTAGATAAAAGCTAATTTAACAAAAAAATACTACAAATTTAGATAACTTTAAATGCCGTAAATGCTCTAATTAAAGCCCTAGGCATCTATTTTTCAACAGGTTACTTTGGGTGGGATTGTATTATTTACTAGAGATGTGCGAGACCGAAATTTTTCCAAGACTCAAGACCCAAGACAAAATTTTTTCCAAGACCAAGACACAAGACCAAGACCAAAACTCCAAGACTCAAGACCAAAAATCAAGACCAAATTTTTAAATCCCATAGGTCAAATTTTTGGTTTATTTTTTGTTATTTTGATACGATCACAGTCAACTTCAGCACAATTATCTATAATTTCGAAAAATTTATGCGAAATTCAAAGAATTTCGGGGAATTTATTCTGTGGAAAATCAATAAAATAGGTTATTATTTCAGAGGGTTTGGGTGGATTAACGGGATATTAGTGATATCAAAAGATTAAGAGGGATAGCCGTGGGATTTAGCGCCGCAGGCGAAAATTTTGGGAATTATGAAAGCAAAGAAGCCAAAAATCTTCCTTTTCCTGCGCCGCAGGCAAAAATTTTGAAAATTTTGGAAGGCCGTAGGCCAAAAAAATTCACATTTTCAGCGCCGCAGGCGAAAATTTTGAGGATTTTGGATGGCCAAGCACTAGGTCCAAAAAGGCCAAAAAACCAAGACCAAAAAATAAAACCAAGACAAGACCAAGACAAACACCCCAAGACCAAGACCAAGACCAAGACCGAAAAAAAACCAAGAAAAGTCTTGGTTCCAAGACCAAGACCAAGAGTCTCGCACATCTCTATTATTTACCTTCATTCCAAACAGGCTGTTTATTATTAAGAACAACCATTTCATCCAATCTATTAGTTCTATATCTTTCTAATATTGAATCTCTCTCCTTAAAAAATATTTTTTTTAATATATAAATATTTACCGAAATAGGTCTAACAGCTAAAGGACGTAAATAATTATGTTTAGGGTCAATATATATTCCTTTAAATTAAAATATAAATTTAATAATATTTTTAAAAACCAGGCATTATAATAGTCATCTTTCTTGGGCCTTTTAATCCAAGTACATTCCTTTCCTAAAAAATTATTTTTCCATTCAAACGGTCAAAGAAATCTTTTAAATTTAAAATATAAGAAAATTACATAAATAACAGCTGCCAACTCTCTTCTAATACTTTCCCCAACAGCTGAAGGCTTTTTAGGGTTTTCTCCATTATCATAAATTGTAAACATTGTACCCATTGCATTTGACCTTTTTTTGAATTACAAAGAATTTTTTAAATAATTTATTTCTCACCTAACTTTAGCCATAAAACTTTGCCCATTTCTTCTTAAATCTGTTGGGTCAATTGAAATCTAAATTTAATTTTATTTAATGACTAAATATTTAAATTAACTAAATAATTAGCTGTTGTTGCTTTTTTTCTTCTTCTAGCAGCCAATAAAAATGTCTAAAAAAATATTCTTTTTTCTTCAAAATTCCCAAAAACAAACCCTTCGCCCATCATTCTTTTCTAAATGTAAATAATATGTTGGAAACATTCCTTTATCCACTCCTCTTTTATCTCTAGAAATTCGGCATTTTAAAGTACAATTCTTTCTAATGGGTTCTATAATATGATAAAATTATGGAAAAATTATTTAATAAATTTATATTTACCCATTACAAATTGTTCTAAATTTTCGTTAACATCCAACATTTCAAGAGGTTCATCATTCAGAATTTCTGTTGGTATTGAACTAAATTAGTGTTTATTGTCTAGGATCTATAAATATAATATTTAGGATCTATCAGCTAGACATACCCCCCCCCCCCCACCCCAATCCTCCGACTTTTTAGTTAGGATTAAAATTAAATTAAAATTAAAAATAAAATTGATTAAAATTAAATCCTCCGACTCTTTAGGATTATTTCTTGTTTTACATTCAATCTTTAATTTAAATAAATATTTCTCTTTTTTTTTACCCTTCATCATCATCAACTTCATCCTCCCCATCATCATTCCATGACGGTCTTTTACTTGCCAAAGCTGTTGTAGATGAATGTGACTGTTGGGCAGAACTTCTACCGCTAACACTTTTTTGAATATTTAAACCTCGAAATCCTTTAATTTTTAACCAAAAAATTTAGAAATTTATCAAATCATCCAAAACCTCCATCATCCTCATCGACTTCAGAGCTAAATGAACTAACATAACTAACAGGTTCCAAATGTTCAACATTAAGTATTGGCTTACGCAAAGAATTATTTTTGTTGTTTTCATCGCTTTAATTAATTAATTAGTAATTTAATTAATTATTATGTAACCTTGATTTTCTAGATTGAGGTGGAGTAAATCCTAAATATATTAGATAATTGAATTTATAATTATTTTATTTTATTTTTGATTAATCTGAGTTGTTTTTGGGTTATTTCCTCCTTTAATTTTACTTGGTATTTTTCGATTCTATCACCCAAAACAAGCAAACAATATTTAATTTAATTTATTCTAAACCTTTAACAGTAATTATTTTTGCATCACCAATTATACTTGTTGGTGTTGGAGTACTTGAAAATGAAGATGTTGATGTACTAGTAGATGAATATTGTTGTTGTTGTTTATTTAATATTGAATTGTTACTTTTAAAATTTTGATTTAAGGAATTATTGTTATTTATTAATTGTTGATTAGTGGAAGTTGCTGCAGATGATATTAAACTACTATTTTCATTTCCAGCAAAAGAATAGAGACTTCCACTTAAAATTAATAATTTTTGATAATTAAAATTCAAAAATTCTTTGTCATTAAATTCTCAATATTTTTCTCAGATTTTAGGGCAATTATAATCTGAAAAATTATTTAATAACCTCGAATGTATTTGACGTCCTCCAACATTATTTATATTTTGAGAGGTGGAGGGTGTTGTAGTAAATGTTGAATTTAATTGTGGTTTGGAATTAAATACATCTTTTGCTTAAATTAAAATTTAATTTTAAAAAAATAAAGTGAAAAAACAATTATTTATTTGAAAATTCTGATTTTCATTTTGTCCATTTTCGTTTGTTTTGAAGACTGTACTTGTTAAATTAGCTTGTAATCTATATTTAATATTTTTTAATTAAAAAATAAATTTCTTTTAAACCTTCGCTGACGTTGTTTTTCTAATAATTCCCTCTTAATTAATTTTTAAATAAATTAAATATTTTAAAGAATATTTACCTGTCTTTGCAAATTGTGATTAACCCACCGATCACTAGCACTCATTTTTAAATTTAAAATAAATTTGGAGGGATATGAATATTAAATATTCTTGTAGAATCAGAAAATGCTTATAATTTAAATAATGAGAGAGTTTTAAAAAAAATTTAGAAGTCTTAATTAATTATAATTAATTGTTAATTCCAATGTTTTATATAAATAGAAATTAATCTCAGTACTTCTAGGATATAACTTTTTTGGACTAATATTTAATTAAGAAGAATCCTTTATCTATCCATAACGTAAATTTCATTATTCTATTGAAAGTCTTTATTTGAAAATTAAAAACAAAATATTAAAGAATACATATAATTTAATTTTAGGTATTTTTAAAATTAAATAGGTAATTTTGAATGCCATTTATTTATTTTTATTGATAATAAAAAAATATTTTTAAAATAAAATGAATGGTTGGTTGATAAATACAAGGCAATAAATCCTTATATTAAATGTTGCCAAGGAAACGATTTTTATTGGCTAAATTATGACTTTAAAGTGAAAATTAAGAAAATGAACTTTATGTATTTCGCATAAAAATATAAAATAATTTAAATGTAGCAAAGAAAGGTTAAAATTTTTAAAAGGGTAATAAATTTATTATGAAGTCTAAATTTTCAAAGTCTGGCATTGCCTATTACAATTCCAAAATTCTGAACTCGCAAAATGCTGGAAACTTTTTGAAATGGAGTATTATAAATTAAAAACTGATATTAAAATTAAATCAAATTAAACATTTTCTATTTATCTTTTAATTTAAATTAAATAAATAAATTGGTCTTAATTTAAAATAATTAAAATATTTTAATTTTACAAAAAAATAATTATAAAGAAAAACTGTGTTTTGCTTCTATTGAAGTGCAAATTATACAAAATAAAAGTTTTAAGATTTTTAATCAAAAAATAAATTTAATTAAACTTTTCTTACACTTATACATAAATTTAAAAAATTAAACAAATTTAATTTTGACAAAAATTCTGAAAAAACCAAATATTTTAATCAAAAGTACAGAATAATCATCTAAATAAATGTATATAAATACAAGGTAGGAATTCTAAAAATATATTTAAAAAATATTTTATAATTTCTATTTCTTTAAAATAATAATAAAATATTCATGCTGTTAAAAAATTATCAAAAAACATTGTTTGCTCATCGCCTAATGAAAAACTGTAAAAAATTTAATTATAATTTACAAATATTTATTTTTAATATTTTAATTTTTGGATATCTTTAATTAATTTTTTACCCAAAAGTACAAAATAAGTTGTTGCCTTAAATTTTAATAGGGACTTGTTAATTTTAGGTTTAGAAACATAATATCTAAAGTTTCATACCGGAAACATACCAATCGAAATTTTGAGATCTAGTGCTTATAAATTAGACCTAGACATTCTAATCTATAAATTAACACATTTTTAATTTCCCAAAGATTTATTGAAGGAATGTTTTCCTACAAATTTCCATACAAATCCAATATTTACTTCTCCAATAATAACTTCTACAATAAACTCAAAAAATTATTTTTCTTTGCCAGCAAATACAGATAAAGTTAAATTAATAAAAATTTAATTAAAATTCTTCAATTTTGCAGAAAATTCAATTAAAAACTGTGCCAAATATGGAAATTAATCTTTTAAAACCAAATGATAAACAAGTGGAAGAGGAGATTTTAGAATTTTTATTGGATCATTTTCTGATTGATGAACCTCTTTTTGAGGGATTAAAAATTAGTAGAGAGGAAGTTATTCCCTTCTATAAAGGCTTGGAATTACTTTTAGAAATTTTAAAAAAGGAAAATTCTTTTTTAGAAATTATTAAAATATGTTCAAAAGAACCACCAATTTCAATGCTTGTAAGGTCCAAAAATGAGGAAAATAAATTAGTTGCTGTTATGTTGGGGCAATTAATAAATAGAAATGGGCCTCAAAATGATTTTTATAAAATAAAAGGAGAAAAAACAAAATATTCTCCGAATGTTGATATTTATTGTAAATTAGTACATTTATGTGAATCTTGTGTAAGTCTAAAAAGAAATTTAGAGGAAGTGTTGTCTAAAGTTAATTTAGGATAATAGTAACATTTTCTAATAATAATTAAGAATAAATATAATTAGATATCAGTTTTACATACGTAACAAGTATCTATATTCCCCCACCCCCTAATTTATGATAACTATATTTTTTAAAACCTGGATAGTTCCAGATACAACTTTGTCAATTTTTTAAAGGTATGGGATTTACTACCTAAAAATATGGTTAAATTGTGTAGCGTTGCTTTTCTGTCAGTTCACAAAGATTACAGAAAATTAGGTATTGGGTACCAAACAACAAAAGAATTAGTTAATTATTTACGTCAAATGGGGGATGTTCAAGGATTTGTTTCTGAATTATCTGCCGTTGGAACACAAAAAGTAACAAAAAATAATTTTATGAAAATTATTTTTTAGATTTCCAAAGAAATTGGTTTTGAATTATTACTTCAAATACCTTATGAAGGATGGAAAGATGAAAAAGGAAATCAAATTATTAAAGCTAAAGATGGGGCTAAAAGTTTAGATTTACAATGTTTATTTCTTTAAAGGAAAGAGAGGAAAGAAAAGAAAAAAAATTATGTAAAATGGAAATAATTTTTGATTAGTTTATTATAATAAATTTTTAATACTTGAGATACATTTGTAATCACCAATTTTTACCAAATACTTAAATCAAAATAACAAATAAAATTAAAGAGAAAGGGATATGTAAAAATTATTTTGTTGAAATAATTTCCGACTTTTCCAAATTTTGTGTTGTTTTATTATGATGTACAGGTAAATATAATTTAAATTCTGCAGGTAATTCATCTTCTGTATAAATTCTATCAGCAAAATAAACTCTTCTTAAACGACAATTTGCGTGGATCTAAAAATATATTTTTAATTTCTTTGATAATTTAATGTTCTCTTTTCCCCTTTATTTTCCCCTAATTAAAGTTATTAAAGTTTAAAAAACATTTCTCGACAAAATCTTTTATAAAGAATGTTTTTAAATTAATTTTTACTTATTCCTAGTAAAATATAAATTGTTTCAAATAGGAAAGCAAAGCAAATTAGCTCCAAAAATTTCCCCTACCTGAACTCTCAAAGTCTCAACATAACTCGTTCCATAAGCCCTCTTAACAAAATCAGACAAATTAAATTGTACTTGATTCCACCCTTCATCTAAACGCAAAGGCATTGTACAAATAAAAGGTTTAACTCTCGTTGTTGATTGAAAATTAGATGCTCTAAAACGCCTTTTTGTTCCTTTATCGTCCAAAATCTTTTTATTTATTAAAATTAAAAATTAATTTTTTTAAATTTCACCTGAACTTCAAAAGTAAAATATTTATTTAAATTTTTGACAGTCATAAAAAAGAAAGGCAATTTAATGCCTAAAGTTTTCTTTGGATCAAGAGGGCAGCTTATATATGTTGTGCTGAAATATTTTTATGATATATTTTTTTGAAAAATTTTTCGAATTTTGGAAATGTGAAATCAAGAATTGGAAATGAGTAATAAATAAATTAAATTTAAATTTTTCTCAATAAATTTAGCAATGTCTTTGGTAAAATTAGACTTAATAAAACGACAAAATTTAAAAATTCATAACGGTTAGACAAAAGGAAAATAGTACGTAGCTGTCAAGAAAAATTGAAAGAGATTTTGTCTAACCAATAAAAGAATTTTTAATTTTCAGTTTTTATAAAAAAATTTTTCTAAATATTTACCCCAAACTAAACGAAAATAAAATTTAATAGAATAAAAATATTAAAATATTCCCAATATTTTAAATAAAAATTTTCTAACCTAACATTAGCTCCCATTAATTCAATAATTAAAGAATGAATATCTTCATCAGTAATTCTTTTAATATGTCCATTACGTACATTCTATTAAAAATTATTTTGAAAACAATTTAAAATTTAAAAATAACCT